CAAATGGCTTTGAAACTCAATTTCTTGAGAAGGAAGCAAATCCTACGGTCGGGTCCTAAGCCACAAGTCCATTGCTCCATCAAAAGCGTGGTCACCGGTGGCCCGTATGGAGTTGATTCGATTTATGATACTTTTATTGATCACTTTGACTATAGATGCCGAAGTTTGTGCAGGTTCTCCATGGCGTCATTGATTACCCTCACGCCAGATATGATATACAATTGTTTGTTATGGAATTAAGCAACAATTGTGGTTTCTGCCATTAAGTACGTTAAAAATTTCATATTTTTTTGAGAAAAACTTACGCTTTTATTTTGTTGATCAAATTAATTCTATTTTAGAAAAATTTTTTTGAGTCACTTTAAATGATAGAAAATAGTCAAACTATTGATTACAACTATATCCAGATCACATTTATAATTTTTGTAACGCCCGTGAACCAAAAAGTGGATTTTTGGTTGGTGCGTCGATCGACACAGGGTGAGTGTGTTAGTCGACACACGTGTTTTGGACTTGTGAGAAGTCGTGTTCTGGGCATTGCGTCGATCAACACAAAGGGTGTGTGTCGATCGACACGGGTTGATTTTGAACCGACAGGTTCGATTTTAAATTGTCCGGTTCGCGTGGTTGGTTAGGGAAAACCCTATGGGACAGTATAAAAAGGGAGCAGAAGTTTTTAGGTTGCGTTTTTGGGCAGAAAACACTCAGAAATCAAAGTGGAGAGAGAGAATTTTTGTGGGTTGTGAGAGAGAAGAAGATAATGTCGTTTGGAGACAGTTCTGGCTGTTGTAGAAGAGTAGAGGAACGAATAGGCTAATCATATCGGATTGGAGTGAAACTTCTAGGGTAAGTTCTCCACTCTCGTATCTAGTTTTGGGCGAAATCGGTTTGTCATTTGGATTAGTATTTTGAGAGTTATGGTTATTTTTCCGAGAGAGATTCGTGCACAATTGAATCTGCGATCAGTCCACTTCGTGGGAGTTTTCCTATCGAACCAGAAGGAATTAGGAGGCGATCTATATAGCGTTGGAAAGGTCTCGGTCTCATGATTCCAGATCATGTTTTCGATCATGATTCCGAGTATTCTCCGTTCTCAGCGTGTTTTCGAAGTCGACTGGTTGTTTATGTTTTCATGAACCCTAATCCGGTTTAGGAGAAACTCCAA